CCTTCCAAAAAAAAAAAAAAAAGGAGAAGAAGAAGATGTACTTACGTATATTAATATGTATATATTTCTGTCTTTCACACATTTGACCCATCTCTGTGACGATATATTAATTGTGTCATTTTCTGTCTATTGTCATGTAAAATTTCAGGTTTATCAGATGTACGTGGCCTTGAGATTATGAGTGATCCACAATCACCAATTGTTTTCCTCAGGTTGAGGAATTCCACGGGATCTGTAAAGGGCGACTTACAAATACTTGAAAATATAGCTGATCGTGTAAGTGGTTTTAAATGATTGTTCAATAAATATCTAGCCTCGTGTGGAAGCCCGGATTTTCTGAAGTTGAACTAATTCTCTTTCTTGTTTGTAATAACCGGTTCCTTGCTCTGATGAGAGAAGCTTATATGGTTGCAGGTTCTGAAGGAAGACTCTATATTTTGTGTTACTTCAAAGAGATCTACAATCGATAAATGCAATTTAGCTTCAGGAATCAGATTGTTCGTTTCAGCTGCTCACACGGAACCTGATCTGGTGAAAGCATATGAATCATTTAAAAGAGTTACTCCATCGGTGCTGGAAGGTCAATGAATATATTTTCTGAACCATTGCCCATTTTAGAATAACTCGATACTAAAACATGCTTTTTTCTCTGGAGATCTTTTTGTTAGATGATGATGATCTTCCCGTCGCACAAAAAAGGCTCTTTGAAGTTTTCATTGTTGGTTATTTTGTGTTTATAACTAGTTTACCACAGATGTACAAATTTTTGGATTGTATTTCTTTTTCTTGGGATGGCTTAAACCGGCATTCACCACTTTGTAAAGAGATATGATAACCAAATGAGCAACTACAGAGGGAGTCTTAAGTCGAGCTTTGTGACCATTTTGGACAAAATGTCGAAACTGTTACGATCAATCACTACCATACTAGTAGATTCAGGCATCTATAGCATGGCGTCTCCCATGGAGAAAGAAGAAATTATACATGTGCACGACATTCTTTTTCTTACATTGTGACCAACACACATGTGAACAAGTCATAAGACCGCCCCCCAGGGCACATCCAAGTTGGCGGAACAATCACATTGGGGGGCTGTGGAACCAAGCGTGGGGAGTTCGATTCCTGGTGGGAACCTTTGATCCAATAAAGGAGGAATTATTGGTGGATTAATCACCATGGAGGAGGCTTCCTTTGAGGAAGGAGTAAAAGCCATGTGGGAACCTGGGAATCAACAAGGGCACATCCTGCGATTTACCTCCCTGAGCAGCTGAGGGGCCGGAGGTTCAGGGACGAGGATATATAGTCTGGCGCAAGCTGGGACACCTCGATAAAAAAAAAAAAAAAAGTCATAAGACCAATTCTTTTTGCTTATATTGTGACCAAAATGCATATGCACAAGTCATAAGGCCCCCTATCGCCATTTCTATTCGTTATTTGTCTTGAATATCTATCAAAATCATTGAAAGCAGCTACTACAAATAGTGATTTTAATTACCATCCAAAGTGTGGCTTTTCAAAATGACATTGTTTCGCGAGGGTAGTCGCTAACAATTAAAAAAGGGATCAGACAATTGTGTAAGGAATAGATCTCTTGAGACAAAGTCTCAAAAAGTGGTGTTTTATTGGCAATGATTTACAATTGGAAATAAACAGAATGCCTCCAAGGGGCGCAAGCACACGAGTATTAAAAGAAGTGTTTAGATTTAAGCTAAAAAATTAAAATTACATATTCTCTGTTTGAGAGTGTTTGATTCCGGGGCCTCTTTCTCTATGTCTTTTCTCCCATTTTATATTCCCTTGATGATTTTCTCGTGACAAACCGTTTGGGAACTACTTGATTGCTTTATAACTACCCACTTTCTTTATGGTGGCTAACTTGTCGTGGAACTGTCGTCTCTGACTGCTGCCATTACTCTTTGTCGTTCAACCGCCTTCAACTGGACTCCTTGAATTGTGGAATGTGATAAGATTACTCAATAACTGCTTCAATAACTGCTATTTTGGATAACTATAATATTTTATGTTTGCTAAGATCCTGGGCGATTTGAAGGTTTGGGCGAGAACGGGGTCATCGCTCTGGGCGATCGTAAGGCACTCCATTCGCTCAGATTCTGGGCGTCTTGCAAGTTTGGGCGATGATGTTACTGTGTTTTGTGGGCTTCCACTGCATTCATCAATAATCCTGTTTGGACTTTTATCCTGGACTCCCCAATTGGGCTTCACTCTTTGGGCTATTTGATTTGGGCTGCACTTTTAGTGTGTCAACACACACGCTTGACATTTGAGACTGATTTGATGTTATTTGCTAGAGGTGATGCTATATCGATGCGCATATTGATGCAATGCTTGTCCAAGTTCAGTAATTGCTCCGAATTGAGAGTGTACTTGCACAAATCAAATCTTTACACATCTAGTATTTAGGGGATAGATTTGGATGAAAATCAGGAGGTTGTGGGCATGCCCAAGGGTACAACGCGGTTTAGACATTTGAGGATTCCACTTGCGGCACAAAAGTTAGAGTTAATCACTATGCCCCGTTCTTGGACAAGATTGCAGCATACATTAATTGATGGACATACACCTCATCGCCCTATGCCGGGATGGCCGAATTGGTTAGGATAGTCTCACAAGGAGTTGAATACTTTTGATTATCTATCTTTCCGGTTCCATAAATAGTGACGTCAAGAATTATTCGGCTTTACAGGAATTTTCTTTGGAATTCCAAAAAATCACTACTTGCTTGGACGGATGTCTGTCTCCCTAAAAGTGAGGGAGGATTGGGATTTTGAGACAAGGTGTTGGAATAATGCTTCGCTAACCAAGGCACTTTGGAATATTCAAGACAAAAAAGACACTCTTTGTGTACGTTGGGTCAATCATGTATATTTGAGAGGCGGAGCCATTTGGAAGTGGATGCTTAAAAATGATGATTCTCATTGATGAAGAAGTTGTTGACAATTCGGGGATTGTTTATCTAAAAAAAGAGGACAGTATGCAAGCTGTCATTCAACGACTAGCGGACTGGAGTACCGAGGGCAAATTGATTATGTCTAAGTCATATGAATATTTCCGGTCAAAGGGAACTAACAAAACTTGGGTAGCAGATGTTTGGAAGCCATTTATCACACCGAAATACTCATTTATACCTTGGCTAAGTGCCCAATCTAGGCTACTCATCAAGGATAAATTACAACATTTAGAGATAGACCGAAGCTGTGTTTTCTGTGGAGTTAATGAAGAATCTAGTAAGCACCTATTTTTTGACTACCTGTTCAGCAATGAAACATGGGAATAGATCCAAAAGTGGTTGGAAACAAGACGAGTCACGTCTACACTAGCTAGTGCTTAGAAGTGGATTAAAAATGAAGCCCTAGGACATCTTGGCAAAGCAAAGCTAAGAAAATTATACTTGCTTGCACCGTTTACTATATTTGGACCGCAAGAAATAGAAAGATTTTTGATAATCTTATACTACATATTGATCGTATAGTCAAATGAATCAAAACTCATGTATACAAAGTCATGCTTTTATTATACTCTTACATTCAGATTCATCTTGAGCCTCTAGCATTAGGTCTTTGAATCTCATCATTGATACATCTTTTGTTCTTATTTAGCCGGGATATGTTCGAAATACTTGTATATAAATTTTGATCTATAGAAATTTACATTTACCAGGGAAAAAAAAAGGGTCATAAGGCCAATCAGAATCAGCAGCCTGACTAAAAGCACTTGGTCTACATCTGGTATATAAAAATCTCAGTTGATCCCTTCTCGAGATTGACTCAAAACTTGTGAAGAGTAGACTATTCACAAAACAATCTTGAAATTAAAATAAAGCATTCAGGTCTCAATTAACCAAAATAATTAAAACTTTATTCTTTATGACATATATCGCTGATTATCTTTTACATATGACGCGGGCCAAAGCATGCAAAAACGTTAATTACGTTTAGCAGGATAATCTATTTACCCTGATTTCACTCTTATTTTGCAAAATTGTCAATAATTATGAACATTATTGAGTCTGACTTAGAATGGTATGTGGTGATAACCCCCCGACTGTCCTAAGCCAGTAACTTGGGGCATTCCATAGGACAATCCAGCACCATAATAACCAGCATTGCCAGCAACCCTGGCCAAGCCCAATTGGCCTTGCATCCCATTGCTCCCATATTGCTGCCAAAGCAGCTGCTCCTGTGTGAGAAGATGCTGTTTCTTCTCCATATCAGCAATTTGAACATAAGACGGTGGTGGCACAGATAGAGATGCTGCAAACGGATCTTGTTGTCCGACTTGTTGGACTGTCCCATCAGGAGCGGGCAATGCCAACACGGGTGTTGTACTTTTGCCTATTCCAGGCAATGAAACACTACTTGCACTCCCACCACTCAGTTGAGAAATATTTACATGCTGCCTCACTGCCCCCTGATCATACATACCAGTCAACAAGAGTGAATCAAAACCACCTGCCAAATCAGCCTTCTGTTTTGATAAATTGCTAGCTGACTCGACCAAGGTCGATTCCCAGTTGGCTATACCACTCTCAGCAGCTGGATTCTGCCAGGCTGAAGTCACTTCAGTCGCTCCGTCTGTCTGGAATGTTTCCCAGGCATCATTTGGATTTTTAGCAGCAGGTCCAGAAAACAAAGCCAATGCCAATTTATTGCCTTGTTCATCAGCTGATACTCCATCATCCTTCAAATTCACTAGTTCTTCAGTCACTTGATGAGTCGGTGGTACGGATTGGGGCTGTGGTGAGATTGGAGGACTGTAATTCTCCGGTGGAGGAAGTGCTTTTATTTCATTCATGTTTGGTGCATCATCCTCTTTAATTTGAGAGGAAGTAGCTTCCCTTCTTTTCTCGGGGCTCTTTGGCTTATTTGCCTTTTCCCTCAAAAACCCTTCGAGAGTCACCAAAAGCTTGTCAGTAATTGCA